CAATAATTACTCCTTTATTATAAATAATAGAAAAAAATGGTTCAGGACTTTTCGACTCAGTTTTACTCCTTCTACCTGCCTACGAGAGATTGTACGGCAATTCTGGGACACCCTGTATATGTATACACATCTTGTTGCGAAAAAACGTCTTAGCAAGCGCAATTGCAATGAAAAGTTATGCAGTCGTGATAACTTTCGATGTTGTTAGAACTCACTCTCGCAAAGCCGAACTTCAACTATATAATGAATGAAAATAAAGCACCGTATGAAATTCATAGGCGGTGCATTAGCGTAATAGAAAACTCTTATCTGCAGAGCAGTCATCAAGTTTAAGCTCTTTCATGTGCGGATAAACTTCCTTTTGTCACGAATATTATGGAAACACGTCTTGCAAGCTCATGAAACTAACTAACGACAACTTTTTCCCTGGGCTTTACGTGTGTTTCGCACAAGGCAATCACTTTGAGGGGTGAAGGGCTTGGGCGCGTATTAAAACATTTATACATTCTCTCCAATGACGTTATGGGATAATTGTGTCGCGGCATGCCATATATATATTATGTCATCATGATTATCATCATGATTATCGTCGTGATTATATATTATTTTACACGTACTTACCGCGTAATTAAAAATTGTGTGTGTGTGTGTGTATGCACAGCAAACTAATTATTACATAATTTTAAATACAAACAGAGTTCAAGTTGCGTTATTTTCTCTCTCTCTCTCTCTCTCTCTCTCTCTTTTTCTCTCTCTCTCCCTCTTTCTCTCTTAAACCGTTAATTCTCTTGCTCTCTTATTTTATACGTTTATGGAGCGAGAAATGCAGGAGCAAGTAGCACTAACTGACAGGCTTGATGTGTAGGAACATAAGTAACCTACATAAATCTCGGGCTCGGGTAGCCACCGAGCGTGATCCAAAGTTGTTTTTGTTGCGAGGGACCACGCGTTCTGCTGAGTGGACTTTGTAACAAGAAATGCGATCCGTGGCTTTGGCCTCGGTCAGATTTTCAGAGCAGATTCGGGGACTATTTACTAAGCGTGTCGCTCACCCGCTTCCTAGTTCGCTTCCAACGGGAAATAATAACGATGGTGGATCGGGTCGTACGTTTTTACGTTGCCAATTCCAGCAGTTAGTTCCGCGAGACACGAAAGCTCAATGGGCTTATTGTTAGTACAACACCGACATCGTCCGACCACTCAGCTACCTGTTTATCTCTACGCGACAAAAACAGCCTCGAATCACGAACCGCTCGCCATGCCGTCTTGACACATAGTTCAGAAAAGTTAATCATAGAGAAAAAGAAAGAGAGAGAGAGAGAGAGTCGTATCTTGTAATTCTGTGTGTGGAAATCTGGCAGGAAAACAAGACAATTTGATATGTGGGATACAAACGTTCATCCCTTTTTTACGACACCGGCTAGTGACTACAATTCAGCTAGTCACGTTTACTCTAGATATACTAAGGTTAGCACGAAGCATTTATATACGTATCACATGCTATATTGTATTACCGAAGAGTATTTATTAGAGAAAATATGTAAGCTCCGTGAATTTTATTTTTCTCGCTTTTGTTCCGAGAATTATGATTAATAGCCTATGCGTGTAACAGAGAGACGTCTTCGAGAACGCGTAAAATGAGGAAAAAGAGAGGCCAACGCCTTGGACGTAAAATCGATCGAGCATAATCCGCGAAGTAGTACACTGCCCATTCCCATGAGATATTTGCCAAGTTTCCGGACGCGATTGCCGAAAGTGGTTGCTTTCACGACACGATTAATACGGACACGATTAATACGGACTATAATCCGCGATAATCTCATATCGATGTGTTTGAAGAAGAGACGCAAAATAAAAAAAATAGTACGTAAAGATGAAAAAAAAAAAAAAAAGAAAAAAAGTGCATGCGCTCACCTCCGCCGGCGGTTTTCCGCCTGTGCTCACGCACTCGATGACCAACTCGCGATCCTCGGTGGTGATGATAAAATCGCCCTGCGTGATCTTCGGTTTGTGCGGCGGCACCAGCACGCTCAGTTTGGCGAATCTCGATCGTAAAGCCGGCTGTCCGTCGTTCGTCGGCGAGGCCTGACATTGATACGTGCCGTCGTCCTCGAGTTCTACCGGATATATGTGTAGCGAAAAATCACCTGAAAGCAGAAAAAAAATACGATGAACACGTAAGCATCGATTTCTGACATTTTGCACGATGTAGAGTTTCGGCGTTTATTCTCTTGTTACGAGTTTTTTCACGTAGGCTAAAACAAAATTCACGTTCTCATGAACACGGAATAAAAATTATATCAACACGGCTCTCTAATTCCGATCTCGCTTCTCTACTGATCGCGTGTAATAGTAAAGATGGAAAAATTGCGGATAAATGATTTTTCCGGATATTAATTTCGTTTCAGGAGAAAATACGATTCCGGAATCGAGTAAAGAACCGGTCGGTAAGGTACAATGATATAGAAAAGGGATATCTATATTATATATACACAGTAAAAAAAAAAATGTT